TGGCAATGTTTAGAGACATTTTTAGTTGTCACAGCTGGGGGAGGGGTGCTGCTGGAATTCAGTGGGTAGAAGCCTTGGATGCTGCTAACCATCCTACAATGTACAGGACAGCCCCTAACCACAAAGAATGTTCCAGTCTCAAATGTCAATGGTGCCTAGATTGAGAAAGCCTGTTCTAGAAGGTGTTAATGCTTTAGAAAAAAAAAGTAGAGCAGGGTCGAGGGACAAATAGAGGAATTTGGCCTGGAGGGTGTGATTTTAAGTTGGATGGTAAGGTCTGAGACAGCTTTGTTGAGAAGGTGACATTTGAACAAAGGTGTGAAGGAGGGAGGGAGCTAAGGGGATATCTGGAGAAGGGATGACGACCAACTGGGCTTCTTATTTCACTAAGAAAACTGAAGCACCCACTACATGTGCCTGTGTACTTGGCCTTCTCTGCAGTTACTGTGGATAAAGGGCCCACGCTCCTAGCAAAGGCTAAACTTGCCACTCAGAAACTTATTCCCTCTCACCTACTCAAAGCCATCACCCCTCTCTTATTAACCAACAAAACCTTTTGGACCCTCTTTTTCTCCAGCTGTTATCTTATTTTTCTCCTTCCCTTTGCTGCAAAGATCCCTGAAAGAGTTGCGTGTTATCACTGTCTCCAATTTCTTTCCTCCATTTTGCTTGAGCCCAAGCCCATGAGACTTTTGCTCCCAAACTGCTCTTACTGTGGTCATCAGGGATGCCCTCAGAGCTAAATCTGGTCTGAGGACTGGTTGGTCATCAGTCCTCAATGTGCTTGACCTATTAGCAGCATCTGACACTGTAGATCACACTGCTGCCTGGATGCTCGCTCTTGTTGTGCTTTGGCACACCAGATGTTCTGGTTCTCCTCCTGTCTCTCTGGCTAATTCTTCTCAGACTGCTTTGCTGGTTCATCCTGGCTTCCCAAACTCTATGGGCAGGAGCACCCCAGAACTCAGTCCTTGGTGATCTCATCCTCTCCTGCTTTAAATCCTACCCATGAGCTGGGGAGTCCCAAATTTCTCTCTCTAGCCCAGACCTCTTCCCTGAACCCTGAACTTGTGTATCTAGCTGCTGACTCAGCATCTCTACTCAACTGTCCAGGAGGCAATTCAGATTTGACAGGTCCAAACCAAACTCCTGCACAAGTGGGTTTGGCTTTTGCTGGAAGCATGGACAGTTCATCCAAAATAACTAGAGAGAAGGCCAAGTACAAGGACACTTTGGAGTTATCCTTGATTCCCCTCTTTCTCTCACAGCCCCATCCATTCTGTCAGCAGATTCCAACACCTAGACTCTGGTCATTTTTCACTTCCTCCAATTCTACCAACTCCAATTCTACCAACTGGACTAAGAAACGTAGTCTCTTGCCTAGAATATTGCAGTATCTCCAAACAGGTTCTCTCCTTAATCTTGTTGACTGAAAGTCACAAAGTATGTAAATTTAAAAAGGAGATGTTATTTCTTCTAAAAGGTTGCAAGCTGCAGGCTGACCATCCTGACAGGCTAGGAAGGAGATTGGCCCTTCAAGGGAGGAAGGGGTAAGACAGGAATTTATGCTGAACAGGTTGGCCAAGTATACATATTCAACAGGTTACAGGAGGAGTTATGAATATTACAAAGGAGACCCACACACGTGCATATTAGGTTTACATGTATGTAACCTACATCTCATGATCACTTTGGGGTGGGGATTTACCATTTAAATACATTACAATTAAGTCCTATACATAAAAAGGTGAAATGTAGGGCATGAGTCCATGAACTGTGCATCCTCAGGAGACCAGCCAGAACCAGTCCACGGCTGACAGTCGTTTATTAAGAAGAAACTGGGGTCTGAAATAGCTGTATGTCAGAACTATAAAAACAGAAGAGCACACCAGGGGTCAGATGAAGTAAGTGAAGAAGTCTTCCAGCCTCTTATTCTCGTCAGTCTTTGACAAAATCTAGTAAGAATTAGAAAAGGGGGGCCGGGTGCAGTGGTTCACACCTGTAATCCTAGCACTCTGGGAGGCCGAGGCAGGAGGATTGCTTGAGCTCAGAAGTTTGAGACCAGCCTGAGCAGGAGTGAGACCCTCATCTCTACTAAAAAATAGAAAGATATTTGGCCAGGCAACTGAAAATGTAAAAAATTAGCCAGGCGTGGTGGTGCACGCCTATAGTCCCAGCTACTTGGGAGGCTGAGGCAGGAGGATCGCCTGAGCCCAGGAGTTTGAGGTTGCTGTGAGCTGATGCCATGGCACTCTAGCCTAGGCAACAGAGTGAGATTTTGTCTCAAAAAAAAAAAAAAAAAGAGTAAAGGGAAGTGGGGTAGAGGGAAGTGGGATATGGCCAGCCTCTGTCCTGTCATGGCCAGGAACTTAAAACTTTGGGGTCTTTCAGCCAAAGGAGGGTCCGTTAGTCTGTTACAGGCGGGTAGGACTTTTATTTCAGTCCTCCACCTTGACCCTCTCCAGTGTATGCTGCTCACAGCAGTTGGCACTGTCTTTTAAAGTATGAGGCAGGCTGTGTCATCCTTCAGACCCTCCAGTGCCACTTCACCCCCAACCCATTTCACCCAGACAGAAGCTGCAGCTTCCACGCTGCTGACAAGGCCCAACATGATATTGCTGAACACCACTCTCGCTTCCATCTCCCGCTGCTCTCTTCCTGCTCATGACACCCCAACCAAGCTGGCTCCCTGGTCTCCTTCAACTTGCCAGGCACACCCTGTTTCAGGCCTCGACACTTGCTTTTTTATCTAGAATGTTCTTCTTCCAGATATCCACATTGCTTGTTCCCCTTCCTTCTCCAGGTTTTTACTCAAATTC